GCACTGTCTAGTTCTTCTGATCTCAGAATAGTGGAGATATGTTCATGCGTTTCATTATTGTAGATTCCAAGCCTCTTCACTTCTTTTAACTCTTCGTTCTTACAACATGGAGAGACCAATATCTGTGCCTTAGATGGCCGCTCGTGAGCTTTCCCCCAAGCAGGATGTAAAATATTGTCTTTGTGGACTGTGTTATGCCAGTTGACTATGGTGTCCCCTGAGACTATGTTCCTGAGCCCCCAGACCCAGCAAACCTTGCTTTAAGATGATTGTTAATATCTGGGAAGTTTTCACTTTGCTTGCTGTATGCTCCACCATATTCATGGTTGTGTTTGTGAGACAGGAAAATACTCATGTACGAATAACTTCTTTCAAACTCATATATTTGTGGGATATATAAATACATATATATCCCACTCTCCCTACCTTAGCTATTCAACCTATGTCTCAGTCCATGTATGTATGCACAGAATACTGTTATAAGGTTGTGTATTTATCACTATTTACCCCTATCCCCTTTAGCTGATGCATACTTCCCTGTGTCTTCACCTGTCTTCATTTTTCTGGCACCCTCCCTCTTCTTATGTATTGCCATCCCCCTATTGTTTATTGTCCTCCTGGTCACCCAAGCTAAGTGAGTCTACCTTTTAACCAGTGAATTGCTCTCCCCTCTCTACCACCACTGCTAACTGTTAAAGATTGTTTCTTTTAGTCTGGAAACCTTTTCATAAACTTTTGCAATAATGGTTTTATACAGTATTTGTTCTTTTGTGATTGACTAATTTCACTCAGCATAGTGTTCTCCAGGTTCATCCATGTTATGAAGTGTTTTCATAGATTCGCTTCAACACTGCATAGTATCCATTGTGTGTACGTACCAAGGTTTGTTTACCCATTCTTCCATTGATAGGCATTTAGGCTGTTTCCATATTTTTGCTGTTGTAAATAGTGCTGCGACGAATATTGGTGTGCATGTGTCTACTCTTGTTCTGGCTCATATTTCTTGTGTGTGTGTGTGTGTGTGTGTGTGTGTATATACATACAGTAGATTGATTGCTGGGTCATAAGGTATTTCATTTCCAACTTTCTGAGGAAGCGCCATACCATTTTCCAGAGTGGTTCAACCATTTTACAGTTCCACCAGAAATGTAGGAGTGTCCCAGTCTCTCCACATTTGTTGTTTTCTGTTTTATTGAATTTCTTTAGTAATGTTGGTGTGAGGCGATATCTCATTGTTTTGATTTGCATCTCCTTAACAGCTAATGATTATGAACATTTCTTCATATGTTTGTTGGTTCCCTGAGTGTATTCCTGGTGAAGTGTCTATTCATGTTCTGTGCCCATTTTTTAATTGGGTTATTTGTCTTTTTCTTGTATAGAAGTTGTAGTTTTCTATAACTTTTAGTCCCTTGTCTGATATATCATCGTAAAAATTTTTTTGCCCAGTCTATGGGTTCCCTTTTTACTCTTGGCAAAATTTTTATGCACTTATTTATCTAATTTTTAGGAGGTCCCAGTCATCTATTTTGTCTTCTATTATTAGTATGGTTTTTGTAATGTTTGATAGTGTGTATATGCCATGTATCAGATCCCCTAAATGTGTCCCTATTTTATCATCGATGATCTTTATAGTTCTAGGTTTTACGTTTAGGTCTATAATCCATGTTGAGTTTGTTTTGTATATGGTGTGAAATATAGGTCTTGTTTTTTCTGCAAATGGATTTCCAGTTTCTCTGGCACCATTTGGTGAAGAGAGTTATCTGTTCCTCAGTGAATGTTATTTTGGCCCTTTGTCAAAGATCAGTTGACTGTGTGCAGATGGCTTTAATTCTGGATTCTCAATTCTGTTCTCTTGATCTATGTGTCTTTTCTTGTACCTGCACCAGGCTGTTTTGACCACTGTGGCTATGTAGTAAATTTTGAGAACAGAGAGTAAGAGGCCTCCAACTTTGTTCTTCATCTTAAACAGACCTCAGTCTTTTCCCTTTCAATATAAAATTTGTGATCATTTTTTCCATCTCTTTAAAGAATTATTTTGGAATGAAGTTTGCATTATATCTATAGATTGCTTTGGGCAATATTGACATTTCTATAATGTTAAGTCTTCCTATGTAGATGATACAACATTGCTTGCTGAAAGTGAAGAGGACTTAAAATACTTACTGATAAAGATCACAAACCACAGTCTTCAGGTATAGATTGCATTTCAATTGTAAGGAATACAAAAACCTCACCACTGGACCAGTAAACAACACTGTTACCAATGGAGAAAAGATTGAAGTTGTCAAGGACTTCATTCTTTTTGGATCAATTATCAACACTCATGGAAGCAGCAGTCAAGAAATCAAATGACGTATTGTGTTAGGCAAATGTGCTGCACAAGACCTTTTTCAGTTGTTGAAGAGCAAAGATGTCAGCTTGAGGACTGAAGTGCATCTGACTCAAACTATGATATTTTCAATAACCTCTTACACTGTGGGCTAATGCATCAGACTGCAAAGTTGTTTGAACTGCAAGCTCGGTGGTTCAAGCTCACCAGCTGCTCCTTAGAAACCCTGTACAGGGTCACTATGGATTGGAGTTGACTCGACAGCACTTAACAAGAACAACTACAACTTATGCATATATATGAAAACTGGACAGTGAATAAGGAAGACCATAGAAGAATTGATGCTTTTGAGTTGCGTTGGAGGAGAATATTGAAAGTACCATGGGATGCCAAAAGAACAAACAGATCTATGTTAGAAGTTCAGCCAGAGTGCTCCTTAGAGGCCAGGATGGCCAAACTTTGTCTCTCATACTTCAGACATGTTGTCTGGAGAAGGATATCATGTTTGGTAAGGTGGAGGGTCTAAGAAAAAGAGGAAGACCCCAGCAAGATGGATTGGCAAAGTGGCAGTATCAATGGGTTCAAGTGGGGCAACAATTGTGAGGTTGGCCCAGGATCGGGCAGTGTTTTGTTCTGTTGTGCATAGGGTTGCTATTAGTTGGTACCTACTTGATGGCACCTAACAACAACAACAAGTTTTCCTACCCATGAGCATGCTATAGTCTTCTATTTTTGTAAATCTCTTTTGGTTTCTTGTAGGAGTGTTTTGTAATTTTCTTTGTATAATCATTTTGTTTCTCTGGTGAGATTTATTTCTGAGTCTATGATCTTTTGGGTAGCTATTGTAAGTGGTATTGTTTTCCTAATTTCCTTTTCAACACTGTCTTTATTATTATGGTGGTGGTTGTGTGCTGTGGAGTTTGTCCTGACTCCTAGTGACCCTGCATAGGGGTTTCTGAGACTGTAAATCTTTATGGGAGCAGAAAACCTCATCTTTCTCCCATGGAACCGCTGGTAGTTTCCAACTGCTGTCCGTGAAGTTAGCAGCCCTATTCGTAACCACTACGCTGAATCCAACTGATTTTTAAATTTTTATTATAAACTATTTGTTTCTTATCCCAATAACTTTACAGATAAAGAACCACATGCCAGTCTGCAGTGACTCATTCACTACTAACTAGCCCAGGCACAGCATAATGCCTTCATGATTTCCCTAGGAGTAGGCGTTGGTCATGGGAGAGAGGGTTTTGGGAGAGTATCCAAGTGTAGTTAGGGACCCAGACTCAGCTCTGTGGAGGGGCTTCAGAACGATGCTCATTCTCTGTCTACAGTGCCTCCATGTACTTTTGCATCTTCTCAACCATCCAGGAGGGTATGACAAAGGATTTCAGTTTCTCTAACTTCAAGTCTAGGCAGCTCCTGTAGTCATCACTGGTAGTTAGGTCCCTGATGTCCTCCTCAGTGAGGAGGTAGGCCATCTTCCCTCCTGTTGCCCGCATGTAATGCTGCTTCGCCAGCCAATGCTTGTCCTGGGAGTCAGCTGCATACTTAAAGAGGTAGGGGTGTTTGATGTAGATCCTCCCTCTGGTGCCCTCCATGCCAACGGCCCTGAAAAGTAACAGATGAGGGTAAGGCTTGTTGGCTCCAGATCCCAGTACAAAGGTGGTAGACTCATTCAGTTGAGCTGGGTCCCACTTGTAGCCTTTTTGGCAATTGACTCACAGGATTTTGGTTTCCATACCAGGTGGCGGCTGCTGGGTTTTTTACCAGGATGTGTCCGGGAGGCAGTCCCTTCTTCTTTTTGGGGATGGTGCTTCCTTGATGGGCACATTCCACTTCTACCTGCTGGCCCCGCTTTATCCCTGGAAGCTTGTGGGTCAGTCTGGGGATAACTTTCTCACCATTGGAAAACAGCAGCTTAGCCTGCTCCAAGCAGCTGCGACGGGCCTCCTGGATCAGCTGCTCTGCATCCATTTCTTCCCTGATATTGTCTCGTACATTCAGAGATGCCTTCTGGAAGAACTTCATGTACTTGTTGAAGACAGTCTGGATCTCCTCATTGATGCTCTGCTGCAGGACAGCACAAAGGAGGTCCATATAATGGCAGGATCTGTGAAATTCGTAAGCTGTGAACTGCAGCCCCTTCCCTGCACCTGTCAGTGCTTTATCATGATATTCCAAGGATTGGTGAGAACCAGCTGTCTCGCTGAGCCATGCCCCCTGGCTCTGCCGCCCTGTTCTGCCCCATTCGTCCCCGCTATGCCTCTGCAGATGCTGGACATCATCAGTCCCAAATGATTTTTGTATGTTGATCTTATACCCTGCTACTTTGTTGATTCTTTCAAAAAATTAATTCCAATAATTTTCTTGCTGAGTCTTTAGGGTTTTCTATGTATGGGATACATTTGTAAATAGAGAGATTTTTACTTCTTTGCCAAGTTGGATACCTTTGACTTCCCTTTTTTGCCATATCTCTCTAGCTAAGACTTCCAACACAGTGTTGATTAGCAGTGATTATAAAGGGCATCCCTGTCTGGTTCCTCTTTACAAAGGAAATGCTTTCAATTTTTTTTCCATTGAGAGTATGTTTGCTGTTGGATTTGTATATATGCTTTTTTTTTTTAAAATTTGTAATCTTCTTTTGATGGGTGCTAAGAAGGCGTCAGGGAAGATGATCGTGGGTGCTGGGAGGGCATGTTGAAATGAGCGGGTTAAGGCGCCACTTCTGACACCAATAAAAGGAAAGCAACAACCCGGCACTGCTCATCAACCACACTGCACACCAGATGGCCCGTCTAGAGACTCATTCAGGGTTAGGAAGAGGAAGGTGACCTCTGCCAGAGAGAGAAGGCAGAAGGCAGAAAGAAGGGGAGAAGAAGAAGAAAAAGAGAGAGGGGAGAGGACAGAAAGAAGAAGAGGGAGAAGAGGAAGAAGAGAGACTATGCTTTTAATTATGTTGATGAATTTCTCTTGAGTTCCTACTTTGTTGAGTGTTGTTATCAAGAATGGATGTTGGATTTTGTCAGATGCCTTTTCTGCATCAATCTATAGGATCATGTAGTTTTTTCCCTTTGTTTTATGTATGTGGTGTAGTATATAGATTGTTTTTCTAATATTAAACCATCCTTACATCCCTGGTATGAATCCCACTTGGTCATGTTGTATTATTTTTTAAAAATGTTGAATTCTGTTGACTAGGATTTTGTTGAGAATTTTTGCAGTTATGTTCCTGAGAGATGTTGTTGTTAGGTGCCATTGAGTCAGTATCGACTCATAACGACTCTGTGCACAACAGAACGAAACACTGCCCGATCCTGGGCCAACCTCACGATAATTTTCTTTTTAGTTAATCTCCTTGTATGTTTTGATATGAGGCTTATGCTTACTTCATAAAATGTACTTGGGGGTTTTCCTTGATTTTCTGTGTTGTAGAATAGTTTGAGTAAAATTGGTTATCAGCTCTTCTCTGAATGATAAAATTCTCCAGTAAAGCCATCTTGTTGTTGTTGTTGTTAAGTGCCGTCGAGTCGATTCCGACCCATAGCGACCCTGTACAGGGTTTCCGAGGGTGTAAATCTTTACGGGAGTAGAAAGCCTCATCTTTCTCCCGCGGAGCGGCTGGTAGTTTCGAACCGCTGACCTTAAGGTTCGCAGCCCGATTCGTAACCACTACGCTACCAGAGCTCCTTAGCCATGGCATTTTCAATAACTTTGTATGCATGTGAAAGTTGGGCAATGAATAAGAAAGATCATAAGAGAATTGATGTATTTGAGTTCTGGTGCTAGAGAAGAGTGTTAAAAGTACTGTGAATTACCAGAAGAACAATCAAATCCACGTTGGAAGAAGTAGAACCAGAATGTTTCCTTTGAAGCTGGGCTAGCGAGATTTTGATCCTCATACTTTCAACATATTGCTCAGGAGGATCAGTCCTTGGAAAAGAATATCACGCTTGCTAAAGTGTGAAGAGTCAGTGAAAAAGAGGAAGACCTCCAACAAGATGGATTGGCACAGTGGCAGCAGTAATGGGCTCAACCTTCAGAACAATTGCGAGGATGGTGTAGGACCTGGCAGTGTTTAGTGCTGTTGTGTATAAGGTCAGTGTGAGTCAGACCGACTCCACACCTAACAACAACAACATTTGTAGCTGTGCCGTTACCAAAGTATCTTTAATAGCATAGCTTTATGACAAATCTTGATCTTTGGTAGGATAAGTCCCTTCCCTTTATTTTTCTTCTTCAGAAATGCCTTGAATGAACAAGTTTGTGAATGTGCTAGCTATTAAAAAATATGAGTGAATAAAATTTAAACTGCTTTCAGAATTCCGGGATACAGCATACTCCTTATTAATATAGCTAACATACTCTGTTGAGCCTGAACTAGATGAAGTTTACAATAAATGAAGATAAAATGATTTAAATATAGGTACATTTATCTCATTTTCATTTTGAGAAGTACTGTTTTGAAAAAGTGGTTAATAATAATACAGTATTGAGTGTTCTTGTTTTGGAAAACACTGATTTTTATAATGTAAAATGCTGTGAATATGATTGTTCAGTGTTAATATTTTACATATTTTTTCTTTCCAGTTTTGATACATCGTCAGAAGCTTAGTCTTTCCAAGACAGCTTATCATGCGTCTCTTTCTCCTTGTTCTGTAAATATTCAGTTGCATAACAGACATTTTGCAGCTGCTACAAGGTAAGTATTTATTTTTTAAAAGTTTTTATTGCGAACTGAGTGATAGTTTACATGGGAGAACATCAGCTTTACACCATCGTTTCATTGCAGTGATTACAGTCTTCTCTGTGCGTCATCATTCAACAGTATTTGCTTCCATTCCCTGTGGTTGTTTTTTTGGGGCGGGGGAAGGGGGTGCGAGGGATGTACACAGAAACACTCAGCAGGAATATATAATAATTTAAACAACCAAAGGGCACCTTCTGCAAGCCCCTGCCTCCTGGCTGCCAGTACCCAGTCCTTCTCTTTCCATGAGTCCAGAGTCCTCATCTGCTCCCTCTATCCATGTCTTCATCTCTGCCTCCATTTCTGGTGTTGCTGCTTCTCTGGATAAGCTCCCACATTCCACTTGTGGTCTTCTCCCTTGATGGTCCTAGGGTCCTGTGTTTTTGAACCGTAAAATTAACTACTCCCCCGTTTTAGTTACAAAACTTCTACAAGGTAAGTATTTTTTGTTTGTTTTTTAGTTATTTTATTTGCTCTCATATAAGATTTTGATGAGGAAACATTATTGGTGTCTTCATAAATACAGATGTTGTTGTTGAATGCTGTTGAGTGGTTCCAATTCATCGCCACCTATTATAGGGTTTCCAAAGAGTAGATTCGAATCGCTGACCTTGTTGTTTATCAGTTCAATGCTTATCCTACAGCGTCACACCAGGACTCCATAAATACAGATTGTTATTGTTGTTGTTAAGTGCTATTGAGTCTGTTATGACTCATACCAACCCTGTATAGGGTTTCTGAGCAGTGTTTGATGAGTTTAAACTGCTGACCTTGCATTCAAACTGACCTCATGGTCCATTGCTTTCCTACAGTGCCACACCAGGACTCCTGAATACAATAGGTTTTTTTTTAATTTATAAGAGTTTATCATTTCTGTTTCTTTGACCTTTAGTCATGAAAGAAAGATATTAGCTTTACCATTATAGTTAATATTTTGTTGTTGTTAAGTCCAGCAAGTTGGTTCCTATTCACAGTGACAGGGTTTCCAAGGAGCAGCTAGTAGGGTTTGACCACTGACCTTGTGGTTAGCAGTCCAATGTGTGTCCTACAGTGCCACATTGTTGTTGTTAAGTGCCGTGGAGTCGGTTCCAACTCATAGCGACCCTGCACAGGGTTTCCGAGGCTGTAAATCTTTACGGGAGCAGAATGCCTCATCTTTCTCCCGTGGAACCGCTGGTAGTTTCGAACTGCTGACCTTGCGGTTCACAGCCCGATTCGTAACCACTATGCTACCAGAGCTCCTTTTAAACCTTATTAAATATTAAGCCTGGGTGGGAGAGGAGAGAGCACGTTAGTGTACAAGGTAGAGGCAAGGAGCAGTAAGTGAATTGAAGTACTAACACTGAGGCCACAGTAAACACCTTACTTAAACACTTTGAGTTGATATTGAACATACTAATTAATAGCCTGGAACCTTGATAGGTTAGTAGGTTACCCTTTGGGCTATTATCTTCAGCATCAGTGGTTCAAATCTACCATCTGCTCTCTGGGAGAAAAATGAAGATTTCTGTTTCTGTAGAGATTTACAGCCTTAAATACCCTTTACCAAGGTCATTATGAGTTGGAACTGACTTGACAGCACACAACAACAATGTAATAATAATTGTTAGCACTTTTGAACACTGACATGTACTAAGTAATTTAATTCCCTCAGCAACTTTATGAGGAAGCTATGTTATTATCCCTATAATTTTAATAAAAGTACAGATAGTTCATATAACTTACCCAAAGTAACAGAACTATTATGTGTTGGGACTCATTTTTGAACCCAAGCTTACCTATAAAGCTTAAGGAACTTATCTTTAGAACCTTAGCATTTTCCAGTATGCTATCACTGCCTTCTTAGAACAGAACCCACTGATCCACTCAGTTAATTTTAATGAATGTATTGTGTGTGTAGCACTTTTTGCTCTTTAAATTAATTATTTTCCTTTTTGGTTACTTTTTATAGGCCTTGTATTATAAACAAATATTTGTACATGAAAGAAAAATAAGCCTTATTACAGTAATAATCATGAGATTATAAAGTGAAGTTGCAGATTTACATTCCAAATTATATATTATACATTCAGATTATATATTAGAGTATAATCTTGTACTGCGCTATATAAAATTTGAACATGTAGAAGAAGCCTACAGGAATGGAATGTGTTTTCCCAACTCTTATTTCCAAAGGCAGGGAAGAGTTCCTTCCTGAGATAGTAACCTAATCCTTGTCTGCATTGATACTGGCATGATGGCATTATGATAGACTCATAGCAGTAATCCACTGTTGCTGCGCTGTGGGTTAATTGTGCTGGACTGAAAAGTTGGTTTGATCAAGCTCAATAGCCGCTCCTCAGAAACCCTATACAGGGTCACTATGAGTCGGAACCAATTTGAGGACACTTAACAACAACAACAACAGCCGTCAACGAAAGGGCTTGAAAAGCAGGATGTTGGGCTAACGTTTCAAGCTCCTATCTTATACCTTAAGGAGCTTTGGTAGCGTATTGATTACGAATTGGGCTGCGAACCTTAAGGTCAGCAGTTCGAAACTACCATCTGTTCCGCAGGAGAAAGATGAGGATTTCTGCTCCCATAAAGATTTACAGCCTTGGAAACCCTGTACAGGGTCACTATGATTCCGGAACTGACTCCGGAACAGCAAATAATAACAACAACAGCATCTTATACCTTTGGGGCTTATCACTTATTGTTTTGTTTTAGGTGGTACTGATGTTAATGAAACGTAGAAACAATAGATAGTTACATCACCCTATTTCTGATTTCTTTCCTCCTTAATGTTAGAGTTTTTGAAGTTGGAGAAGTGACTCATTGGTAATAGGGTGCTAAGAAACTGTAGAAATAATCTTTGGTAACGTTTTCAGAATGCTTACTATATTAAGCACGCTACATATACATACTAGCTCATTTAATCATCACAGTAGCTATGACAGGCAGATACTGTTAAAAGCATTTTACAGATGGAAAATGGAAGTGTAGTGAGGTTAAGTGACTTATCCAGAGTCACGCTGTCCACATTCACACAGGTAGAAAATAGAAAAATTTTAATCCAAACTGTCTGACTCTAGAACTCAGGATTCACAGTTCTATACAGTAAGGATGGTAGCATTAGCTTTAGAGTTTTTGTTGTTAAGTGCTGTTGAGTTGATTCTGACCTATAGTGTTCCAAGGTGCATCTGGTGAGTTTGAACTGCTGACTTTGCAATTCAAACTGACCTTATGGTAGAGTGCTTATCCTAATTAGAACTGAAATGAAAATTGTGCTTAACGTACACAATTTTACAATTTGGCCAAATTTCCTAGACTGTAATCCTTTGGTTATGGGATACCCACATGAGAACTAAAGTATGGGAAATTTTTGGTGAATTTGTAAACTCTCAGTTGCTTAATATATTGTTTCTGTAAAGTCAGTTGAATATTCGACAAATTTACCACAATAGTCACTTTTGTTTGTTTGTTTGTTGTTGTTGTTATTTTTACCATAGTCTCTTATTTAGCATACTTTGTTGAATATTTGCTATGTATCAGATATTTTTAAAGATCTTGGTGATACAAGACAATATCCCTGTGCCCTTGAGGAATGTGTATTCTGATAGCAACATAAATGATTGCTTTTTGTGTTTTAACTATTAATTAAAATATGAATTTAGTAACTTTCTGAGAAGATATGGTTTGTTGTTGTTTTTAAGTACCATCATAGTGAACATATGCACAAGAGAATGAAACACTGCCTGGTCCTGGGCCTACCTCACAATTGTTGCTTGAGCCCATTGATGCTGCCACTTTGCCAGTCCATCTTGCTGGGGGTCTTCCTCTTTTTCTTTGACCCTCCACCTTACCAAACATGATCTTTCCTAATTTTAAACCATTTAGTATTCCTTGTTCTCTTTAAACAACTGCCTCTAGGTTTATGTACAGGTTCCTCATGAGCACAATTAAGTGTTCAGAGTACTCATGGTTTGCAGTGTTGTCTGTAGCTTGTCATGATCCACAAAATTGAAAGCCTCTGGAGTCAAAAAGGATAGGTAATGTCTTTATGGTATTCTTTGTTTTCAGCCAAGATCATTTGATATCAGCAGTGATAACCCTTGTTCCACATCTTCTTCTGAATCTGGCTTCAACCTCTAGAAGTTCTCTGTCAATATATAATTGCAGTCATTTTTGTATAATCTTTACCAAAAATTTACTTTTGTGTAATATTAATGATATTGTCCAGTGATTTCTGGATCATCTCTCTTTGGAATGGGCACAAATATGAATCTCTTTCAGTCAGTTGGCCAGTTTCTTGGCATAGATGAGTGAGTGCCTCCAGTGCTGTATCAGTTTGTTGGAAGATTTCAACTTTCATTCCATCACTTCTCAGTGCCTTGTTCTTGGCCAGTGCTTTCAGTGCGCTGTGGACTTCTTTCAGGACCATTGGCTCTTGATTATATGCAACGTCTTGAAATGGTTTAACTTGAACCATTCCTTTTTGGTACAGTGATTCTGTGTAGTCTTTCCATCTTGGTTTGATGCTTTCTGTATTATTCAGTATTTTGCTCACAGTATCCTTCAAAACTGCAAGTCGAAGCTTGAAAAATGCTGAGTATGTTCTTGTGTTCTTCCCTTTTGGTTTTCTAACTCCTGGTCTTTGCACATTTTGTTATAGTATTTGACTTTGTGTTCTGAAACTGGCACTTGAAATTTCTTATTCAGCTCTTGTACTTCCTTATCTAGCATCTCTATGCTGGAGAGCAAATTTCAGGGTCTCTTCTGAAATCCTTTTTAGTCTTTTCTTTCTTTCCTGTCTTCTTAATGAACTTTTGATTTCTTTTGTGCGATGTTCTTGATGTCATCCCACAACTGTTCTACTTTTCGGTCATTAGTGCCTAATGCATCAAATCTGTTATTTAGATGATCTCTAAATTCAGGTGGGATATATTCCAGGTCATATTTTGGCTCTCGTGGAC